CGAACAAAGAATTTACATATTTGCCAAGCAATGAGGTGATCTGGCCTGCATAGGAATGTCTAATTCCCTGGCAATTAGTTAAATTCTTTGTTCCAATTCCTCATGTCAGGAACAGGCTTTCAATGACAATAACTTGTTGCCTCATCTTTGTTGCTGTGGCAAAACAGGGTTGATCTTTATCTTCCTACTCTGGCAACAACATTTTCTTTTTATCAACCATTCCTGCAAAGATAATGAGCAAGAAAATTTGAATTTTATTTAACTGATCATTTTTTCAACAAATGTGGAATAAAAAATTTGACATAGTTATTTACTATTTATCACCTCTTTACCTGGCGACGAAAGCCGTTTGCCCCTTGTGTTTCTTGCTCAAGGCTCACCTTCATAGATTGATGCTCCGCATGCAGATATGCACTGCGCTACTCAGTGGTAGTCAGTCTATCCGCCACGGCTTCCAGCTCGGGGATCGCGCCCCTTAGACGGCTTGCTCCAGCCAGATATCCCAAATCCTGGGTCTAAAGCATCATCGGCTCGTACAACATCACTGGGGAACTGGCTGGAATGTAGGGTGCATCGAAAATGCGAGGTTCAAACCCAGTAAGTTTACGTCTCCTTATGTTGGTCGGCTTCTCATGAATCCCCAAAGCTGATTCTGCTTTCAAACGCTCCCCTATGCTCTTCCGCAATCCAGTCCTAGTTTCTGTGATTCGGAGCTCCTCAACAACCCGAAAGCCACGCTTCTTTTCCTCGCTTCCATTTCTTAGGAAGTTGGGTCTTCTCGCGGCTCCGCTCCATCGTATGCTGGACAGTGAAAAAACGACAGCTAAAAACACACTCAATCCCAAAATCATGACTACCGGATTCGTTCGCGCCACAGCTTTCAATAGTCTCACCAACAACGTCACCTCCCGTCACGATACCTCATCCCTATCCTATCTCCCCGAAGCAGCAAGTACGACCGACTAGAGGGCGGAATGCAGCCGAGTAACGTTGGTGGGACGAAAGTGTTTGCGTGGAAGAAGTTTGCGATGTGCGCTGCGTTTCTCGTTGAGGTGATGTGGTTTCGGGGGTTGGGGGAGGATACATTCTTCTGGCGAGGGAATGGGAACACTGATTTAGACGCGGAAGGTAAGTCCCATTGCCTTTATTTCTAGAAACTGACGAAAAGACCAAGGAATAAGGATACCAAACGGACACAGCGCCCTCCCCTTCCAAAACGCACCACCAACAAACCCAACAACCAACAACACCAGTTACCTGTCGTCCCCGCTCCAAAGCCAGACCCAGATTCCTACGAATCTGATCCAGACCCATCATCAACAACACACTGTACCCACCCCCACTACTCCTCCTCGTGCAATATGCACTAATGATCGACGTAGGCTCAATTGGCTCTGGAATCCACGTCTACAAATTCAACAACTGCGGCCCTTCTCCCAAATATGAATACGAAGTATTCAAAATGACACAACCTGGTTATCTTCATTCGCTGGGAACCCAGAGGGCGCTGCGAGGAGCTGGGACGAAGCTGTCCGCGTGGTGCCCAATGCCATGTACAGGTGTACACCTGTAGCCGTCAAAGCTACCGCTATACTTCGTTTGTTCCGGGCTCACAGAGCGCTGATATTTTGGAGGCGGTGGAAGGGAGGATTCGGTCATCCTATCCCTTCCAATTACAGGAAAAAGATGGGGTAGTGATCATGGATGGCAAAGACGAAGGCGTATTATACGCGTGGATCACGGCGAATTATCGCTTGGGAACCATCAAAGCTTCCACACCGCCTGATACACCCACCTACGCAGTCATCGACCTCGGTGGCGCTTCTACGCAAATCGTATTCAAGCCTGTCTTCGCGTTCTCGGATATGCAACTCGAGGACGGAGAACATAAATACGATCTGCAAATCGGTGGCCGGAACCATGTGTTGTGCCAGCACTCGTACTTGGGGTATGGTTTGATGCGTGCAAGGAGACACGTTCATAGATTGGCGGATCTCATGTCGACGTTGCAGGGTATGAAACCGAAGGCGGTGGCGGGGAATCCGTGTCTTGCGAAGGGGACACAGAGGGTTGTGATTGTTAAGGATGAAATGACCGGTAAGGAGAGGAAGGTGACGATGGATGGGGGACATTGGGTCTTTCGAGGCGTGTGATAGGGTGGTGCAGCTCGTATTGGCAAAGGACACGTACGTCCCTTTCTCCTCCTTCCTTTTACTCGTTTTTTCTTCCTCATCATTCTCTAATTCTCTTTTCCATCATTCTTTTCTCCCTTCTCTCTTCCTTTCTCACCTCTTCCTGGTCCCTGCTTTCCCCCCCTAAATCTGCCTACTAATACACATGCACACAGAATCTGCGAACTCAAACCATGCTCCTTCAACGGCGTCTACCAACCCTCCCTCCTCTCCTCCTTCCCAAACGGTAAAGTCCTCCTCCTCTCCTACTTCTACGACCGCCTCTCCCCCCTCCTCCTCCCCTCCTCTTCTTCCTCCCTGCCCATCACCGTATCCACCATCGCCAGCACCGCCCGCCAAGTCTGCAAAGGCCGCGACGAATGGCTGCGGAAAAGATTGCGGGTACGGAGTTGGGTTGGTGTTTGGGTGCTACGATTGCGATGGTTGGTGGGGAGCTGAAGTGTCTGATTTGAGGGTGGTGCATGGTGGGATAGGATTTATTTTATTTCTCACTGATGGTGTTTATCAATAATGAGGCTACTTGGACTGTGGAGTGCTTGCAAGTGCCTATACTTACTACATGAATATAAACAATCCTGCTCTCTTATAAGACAATAGGTAGAATACCTAGGAAGTTGTCTCAGTCCATGCATCTTTGGGACTGTCCAGTGTGATTATATCAAAGCAGAAGTGATTACAACTTGCTCATACCAAAGGGTTATGGTTCACTTTTTCCATAGGGCCACTGTATGGACAATCTTTTTTTTTTGTGAGGGGAAAGAGGTGATAGCTACTGTACATCATATATACTATGTAAAGAAGACACAGAACTAGCTTACACATACAAAATGGACTCAAAACCAGAGACCTCAAAAGAAAGAAAAAAATGTGGTATTTTAAGAGTCCCCCAAGGGCCAAAGAACATTCTGACAACTGGTAAAAGGTTGTTCAAATAGGTCATGAACTGCATTGAATGCTACTATAAGGCTGGTGAAAAACATTGACTCCAATTTGTACCATGGACAAAGTTACTAAAATCAAGTATAGTTGGAGTGGTGCCCAGTACATTGACTGTTCTTGGAAAAAATAAGCCATGTTTATTGCTTGTTGGCACCCAGAAGAGATATGATTTGAAATCTTCTCCAATGATCCAATTATTAGATTTATGTCCCTGAGAGGGATAAAAAACAACAGGTTTACTCTTGAAAATGTGAGATACACTGTCATGGGTATCAGTGTCATTAACATTTATAACTCCAGATGGAAAGAATGTGGATGGCAATGTAACTGAAGGAGCTGAGGGATTTAAGTCTATGCAGCCTCCATAAGCATCCCAGAGTCTGATGGTATTGTCTGAAGATCCAGAAGCGATATGCCTACCATCAGGTGAAAAGACAACTGATTGAACACCTTTGTGATGGCCTTCAAATGGATCTCCCAAACTCTGACCTGTTACAGCATTCCAGAGTCTAATTGTTTTGTCACGAGAACCAGAAACAATGTACCTCCCATCGGGAGAGAATGCAACTGAATCAACTGCATCCCCATGGCCTTTAAGAGGATCCATGATACTCTGTCCTGCATTAAATTCCCACACTCTGACAGTCCTATCATTAGATCCAGACACAATGTACCTTCTATCAGGAGAAAAGGCAACAGAGTTAATGCCACCCTGATGACCTATAAGGGGATTCATTATACTTTGACCTGTCAGGGCATTCCATGCTCTGATTGTTCTGTCTTCAGACCCAGAGATGATGAATCTGCCATCTGGAGAAAATGAAACTGAATGAATCCAATGAGTGTGTCCTATGAAAGGATCCACCACACTCTGCCCTGTCAATGCATTCCAGACTCTGACTGTCTTGTCCCATGATCCAGAGGCAATGTATTTACCATCAGGAGAAAATGCAACAGAAATAACTCCTTTATCATGGCCTTTGAGAGGATCCATGGCACTCTGACCTGTTAAAGCATCCCAGACTCTGACAGTGCAATCATGAGATCCAGAGGCAATGTATCTGCCATCAGGAGAAAATGCAACTGAAGTAACCATGGCATCATGACCTCTAAGTGGACCCATGACACTAAGACCTGTCAGAGCATCCCAAATTCTTAGTGTTGCATCATTAGACCCAGAGACAATGTGTTTGCCATCAGGAGAAAATGCAACTGATCTTATTGCATCCTCATGGCCTCTTACATGATCTACCTTAGTGTGACCTGTTAGAGCATCCCAAACTTTGATTATATTGTCCCCACATCTAGAAAGAATATGCTTGCCATTGGGTGAAAAAGCCACTCTAAAAACTGAACCCTCATCATCTTCAAGAGGACTTAAAATGCACTGACTTGTCAGAGCATTCCAGAATCTAATTATGTGGCATTGAGTTGCACAAACAATGTGCTTGCCATCAGGAGAAAAAGCTACTGTGTAGAATGGATCAGAGCCTCTGAAAAGAACCATTATACTCTGACCAGATAGAGCATCCCAGAGTCTGATTGTCTTATCAGAAGATCCAGAAACAATGTTCATCCCATTAGGAGAGTATGCAATACAGCTGACTCCCTTATCATGACCAATAAGTGGATCCATCAGACACTGACCTGTTACAGCATCCCAGATTCTGACTGTGCAATCATGGGACCCTGAAATAATATGCCTGCCACATGGAGAATATGCAACTGAAGTAACTGAACCACTATGGCCTTTAAGAGGTTCCATGACACTCTGGCCTGTCAAAGTATTCCATACTCTGATTGTCGTATCACTGGATCCAGAGACAATGTGCCCACCATCTGGAGAACATACGACTGAGGTAATCCTGTCATCATGGCCTTCAAGAGGACCCATAACACACTGGCCTGTTAAAGCATCCCATATTTTGATTGTCTTGTCAAAGGATCCTGAGATTATGTGTTTCCCATCAGGAGAATATACAACTGAACTCACATAGCCAGCATGGCCTTTAAAATACATGATATCATGGCCTGTGAGGGCATCCCAGACATGAATAGCTCCATAAGTTCCAGAGACAATGCGCCTGCCATCAGGTGAATATGCAAGTGGACCATTGTTAGTCTTTATTTTCAGAAGGCACCTGTCTGGCCACTGTTTCATCTGACCATTCTCAATTGTCAAAGATTTTACAAGATGTTTTTTGAAATGAAGAGATATTTTAGAATTTTGTGGTGCAAATGGCAGTGCTGAGATGTAAATGTGTGGTGCTGCTTCAGAGATTGGCTCAAAAAATGTCATTATAAATTGGTTTGCATCACTTGCAAACTCTGACATACTAGGGTTCAATGCCTATATTTGATATGTTCATGTCAGTATCATAGTAGTATACTTTGATGAGACACTTACTTTGCACCAAGTTTCAGCCAAAAGCAGTAACTGAGCAGCATGATTTACAGCACCCATTAGACTCATAATTTCTAGCCAATGTAAAAGATGGTTTATCAGAAATTTCTCCATTTCAACTATTATCTTCTCTTCCAATGCTCTATCAGAACATTGTTGCAGATAGATTGCCCAGAAGTACCTTGCATGATCTAGAGCAGTAGATTTCACTTTTTCAATATGATCCTGCAGCTCAGGAATTTCTTTATTTAGGATATGTGATGTTTTGAGATCAAAAAAGTTAAACTTTAGCTTTGCACTCATAAATTTCATACAACACCCAGCAAGGCAGAGACTGTGCTTCTTAGAATCAACCCAAAAAGCCTTAGAGCGCTTTGGGTCACGCAGAAAATCTGTAACTGACTGATGACAGATCTGAAAATGGCCAGTTTCACTGATAGACAAGATTGGACTTAGTTGACTGATTACAGACAATGCATCTTGAACCTCTAGAAGCTGTTCAAGATCACTGGAACAAAGTGGATTTCTTGCAATGACAATGGAGCCCAAAACTGATGACAAGGTATTTTTCTCTGTTTCTCTTAGACCCTGAAAAGCAGCAGAAATGATATGATGGTACAAGCCATCAATGGCATCAGTTCCTTCTCCAGTATTGGAACATATAACTTCCAGCCTCCCTTGAATGTTACCACCCTTATACAAGATGAAGTCCATTGCAGATTTAGCCCAAATGAATAGCCCAGCAGCTTTTTCTACAAGAAATGAAATTTTTTCTAGACCAGGCCAATTCAGATATAGAGCTGAGGTATCTAAATTAGCCCCTTCAAGAAATCTTATGGTAAAGTATTTCCAAAGATCATCAGCAGTCTGATCAGAAACTTCATCTCCAGCATGAAGATCAATATGATAACCAACAGGTTTCAATGCATTCTGAATATCAGGATAGCGGCGACTTGTAACTAGAAACTTTACAGACTTGGAAATTTGAGAACAGGATTTTAAAGAAGGCAAGAGTCTCTCATATGAATCACACTCATCCAGAGCATCAATAACAAGAAGAAGTGGCTCTGCAGAGCTTTGAGACACCTCCTGGAGTGGCTTGACAATGAGATGCTCAAATTGCATGGGAATGTCAAGACCTCTGATTTTAGCTTCCTGTGCCTCTAGTGCTTGGGCTATAGATATTTTCAATGCACTGTTTCCCTGAGCAAGATCTAAAGCAAGGCATCTCCATAGATTATCTGGATTCTGAAACTCAGTCTGATCACGGTGGAAGAAGAATTGCCCAGAAAGATGTTCAAAGCTAGCCACAACAGTTGAAGCAATTGTTGTCTTCCCAGAGCCAGGACTGCCAGAAAGCCAGAGAATGTTTGGCATGCTTGGATCATTTACCCATGCTTTAATGTCTGTTAGCACATCCACTCGAGTTCCAGGCATGCATCTCTCTGATGGTTTGCTATGTAATGGAGCCTTGAGCTCCTGCAACCATTTATCTGCCTGAGGAATTGGCTGGTATAAGTTATGAAGGTAACTAGGCTAACATGACTTTCCTTTGATTCCTCTATCATGGCATTGATTTTATCTTGAAGTTCCTCAGTATTGTTGTAGTGGACCTGCAAAATGTAGATGTGGATTAGTGTGGAAATGTCAATGAGAATGTTCACTAACAACTTGTCCAGCAATAATTACACTATGATCCATCTGAATATCTTGTGCCCCAGCAAAGACAGTTACTTGAGCTGCTGTAGCACCTTTTCCGATGAACAATAAAAATAAGGGACATTTAGAAGTGTCACTTTCAGCTGATTAACTTACTATCTTGACTGGCCTCTGTGGTCCTCAGCTGTTCAGCAGTCTCTGTACTGTCAGCTGTAAAGAATGATAAACAGTGAGAGATAATAAAACGGATGCTTCTCAACATACTTTGGAAGTTTTCCTCATACCAAAGAAGGACCTAAACTTTGGTGTCAGTGAGCTAATCAAACATAGATCTATTTTACACACATGGAAAGAGCTCATGATTTCATTCACCTTTCCCTCAAACTTCTCAATATGCTCTGTATCTTGTGTAAAGCTGGGAAAATTCCTTAAAATCTGCTGGTGAATATCTGAAACACTTTCTTTTAGATGGTCCAAAGCTCTAGCAGAGTATTTCAATTCAAAGGCATTTATGATAACAGTCAAAATCACGCACCCTTTCAAATCCTCAAGCCAAGATTGCAAAGCAGACGGAACATGATCCTTGCGAAATTGACAGTTATACCGAATGATCTCCTCAAATTTCCCAGTAAGATTATCTGAACAAGCGGCCCAGGCTCTCCTGTTAGAGTTGAATTTCTAATTTGATTGATAGATAGGTCAGATAGATTGATTAGAGCAAAGCCAAGCACCTTGATGATCTCAATAATATCCAAGGCTTTGACAACAGCCAACTTCAAGGGTGGGAAGGCGTCATCAGATGCGGCCACAGCTTCGAGTGTATGAAGACCGGCGCCTCCGCTGGCAGCCCGCAGACGTCGGTTTGTGCTGGGATTCAATTCACTAGTATTCATATTGTTGGTGTTCTTGTTACTGGTAGTAGCGCTTGCGTTTGCGTTCGTGGTGGTGGTGGTTAGGAAGAGACCTGGAAGGAACGATACTGCGGTGCCGCATTGCCTCATGCCGTAGTCATGTGCTGCATCTATTTTTGAACTTCGTTTTGGAGGAATTCTTTTAGACGCTCACAGAAATCAATTGGTTTCTGCGGTCCGAAGTTCCTTGAGATAAGGAAGCCAAGTCTCCGTCTACATCCCAATTCTCGCTCCAAATTTATTCGCATCAAGTTTGGCACAAAGCACGGTCGTCAGGTATCATTCCGCTCATGGCTCGAACTGACGGCGTTAATGACCTGTGTGCGAACAGGGCTGTGGGTTGTGTAAAGACAGAGTAAAGACAATCGAGATTGTAAATCTGGCGCCCATCTAGACCCTACCAAAGACCCGGAGACTTGCTACTGAAAGCAGATTGCAGCGCACGGCTGCTTGGGCACCCTCCTGAACGAGAAGTATGGCGGTGTAAGGAGAAGCGAGCCAAGTTGCACATTCTTCTTGACGTGGGCCTACCCTGCTAATTGTCCATTTTAGACCGAAAAGTTCATCCCATCAACAGCGCAGAGAAAAGTTACCCAAGCTTCCCATATATCATTCTTTGTTGATTTATTGGACTCGCCGCCCGAGAGCGAGTTTGATCATACCTGTCGAACGAATTTGATAAGATGAGCGCGGTGCGGGAAGCGCCAGAAAGAAACAGATGACAAGAAAGCGACATGCGGAAAGTGTAGCACCTGAGAATGAGATCACGGCGAATAGGCAACATCAGCAATTTTGAACGTTGATACCTTACAAGTTGACGATGGAAGCTATCAGGCCTAGTCACGACCACCCAATGACACCCATTGCATTTCAAAGGTCAAGGACTCAGGTCCGAGGGTTTGCTGTGCGACGTTCCTTGGGCATCTCACGATCGGCTGAGTTTCATTAACCTGCTCCTCTGTACGTGCCCTGTTCAAATCCTGTTAGTGTCCAGACCACACATCCCATATACGGCTCCTGAGGTCGGAAAGAGTTCATGGTGCTGGTCATTATGATAGTAAGCGGGAGAAGGAATTTGGAATAGAAAAAAAAGCGTTACCAATATTATATTGCAATTGCCCGACAAAATCTGGAGGCGGGGGGGCGCCGTATAGCGCTCCACGACGCTGCATAGCAGGGATTTTAGAATTTCTTCAATCATTTAGGCGTTACGGAACTTTGAAGCATCAGTAGAGTAGTCATCGGTTGTAGGGAGGAGAATACAGTACTGTTGTATTCTAATTCACGTCCCATACATGACGAGCCATTGTGAAAACGACTCCAGAGCCCTAAGTCTCCCAGAAACTACGTGAAGCACCAAATGAGGGCCCATCCCGCAGAACAGAGGGAGACATTCCAAAGAACGTTACCTAGGAAAGACATGAGATGAAGCACCAGACGAAGGACAATCAGGTAGAGCAAAAAAAGCGGTCGTCCTAGAGAATTGAAATAGCAGAGATGCAAGGGAGTCTTTCGCGAACATGACGGCAGAAGAGACGTGTCGGTGGTGTCGGTGAGGCCTAGGGGTCGTGATCAGTGTGGTGTGGGATATAGTCATGTTTATTCTTGACCATCGTCATGCACGTCGACCAAGACTCGACCAAGACACATCCAACACGTCGCGTGTGGAGCTATCCCTTGGGTATCCCTGTCATCGGCTTAACACCCTCAAGACCTCACAATACGATGATTTAGTCAAGTTTAGTGCTTCCCTTTCCAAGTTTGCCTGAGGACATTTGATAGCTGAAGCTGGGTTGGATAACTCTGAGGTGCGTTTGCCATCCATGCCGCCAGTTTCGCCTTCTTATGTTAGTTCTCTGAAGCCCTGCGACGTGCTACTACGTGGCGGTTAGTTCTCCAAGTATGGCCACTACAATGTGCACTATCACGACACCCGAAAGCTACGGAACCCCAGAGCATTGCTGCCGTCTTTCACCCGCAATACCGTGCTCCATACACCTGGGCTTTTACTCATATTCCTTCCAACCCTACATATTCGAAGCACAATGTTCAACCTTACCTCACGTCTGCCCAACTCCTGTTCGCCATTTGATACCGTGCCATTCCTGCAGTGTTCTCGGGGAGGCCTTGGCGATCGGGAGGATGACATGCCACAAATTTGCGACGTAACCATCCTTGTACATCGTCCCCGTTGTGCAAGCAGAGGACCTTCTCTCCTGTCGAACACTCATCACTACCATCCACTTGCGAGGCCAACACCACCCAGCAGCCACAGACCAATCGGCGCTCCAACCCGGGTTCATTGACCTTCTTTCAGCGCCAATCACCACAGCTTTTCACCACCGAACCGCAGACGACTCACATGTTCCTCGATCAGGCGACTCATCCCCCTTCCACCAGTCCGATTCCTTTCTAGGCTCTACACCCGCCTTCCTTTCAGAGCGCTCGTCTCTTACTGCGTACTCTTTAAAGCCCTCGGTGCGACGAATAATCATACCGCAAATGAGGATCAACCATTTCCGTTGGCTGCAGGTAGCGTGTAGGGGGTGGAGCCTGAAGATGAGGAGGTTTTGGGCGACTCACCAACCGAAGAACCGACCCTGCTCAAATTTCAAATGAAAGCGAGTAAACAGCGGATCCAAGTTCTGCTAGGCGTCTTTGGTGCGATCTTTACCATCGGCTTGGTGGTGGTTCTTGCTGTTTATTTCGTGGTGTTGAGGAAGTAGGATAACGTTGAGGGGAGCGCCGGTGGGCGAGTGGATCGCCGACTGGGAATGGGACTGCTACAACGATCTTGATATCGGAAACCAAAAGATGGACAATGACCAGCGTAAAGCTCGTTCGACATACTTCTGCACCTTCCACCGTCATAGTCCAGCACACTACGAACCAAGCCAAGCCGGCCTAACTTTGGATTCCGATGCTTAAGCTCAAGCGACTTTATGTGCTTTCAGACTTCGCGCAGGTGGGTGTCCTTTTCGCTCTTAACTTCTTACAGTCTCCGTTTTGGTCCCTTTTCCGCGTTTTTCACCCTTTCGTCTTCCACCAACCTCCCTCCTACTACGCTTTCACTTTCGTTCGCGATTTCTTTCCTTTCGTTTGCCCTCCAATTTCATCATTTCACTGGTACTCTTCGTTCTTCTCTTCCTCCCCTCTTTCGCGCCCTCCTCGACAAGTTCAACTCACCCACTTTTCCTCAGTCTGTTTTTTCTCTTAGTCATGCTTTGGAAATCTTCTCCAAGCTAGGCGAACGACACCTTTGGAATTCTCTCGCATCGCCGTTAGGATGAGTCATACTTGCCTTGAATCAATCCAGATCATCCGCGATCATTGAAGATGTTTTGCTCATTGAACCCAATTCCTTTTACGCGGAATGTTCAACGTCTCTGGGGAGATCAACTCACTGGAAGGTACATGGAGTTTCCAGTAAGTATGCACGTCCTTCTCATGCTAGTCTTGTGGTCAACGAATCGACCGACAGCTAGCTCTTGTACTAGGACAGCTCTGCAAGCTCCACCAAGTAGGCTTTCGCAGTCTTGGTTTTCCTCTGCTGTAGTCGTCTGCTGCCGTTTCCATGCATTCGTTGGGGTGTCAATCCCAGCGTTGTCATGGAATCATGTTGGAACAACTTATCCCAAACTGCTATATGCAATCATCTCCCCTTCACCCACCTCCACTTCAACATGCGACATCTCGAAATCCACGTCCATGACTCCCAACGTCCCAACCCTCTGTGTCCACTCCTCTCCATCATCGCCTTTTGTGACCCAAAGTACGAGTTGTTCTATGCCTTTGGATGGAGAAGCGTCAACGACATTAAAAACCCAACGCCATCACCTTCCATATTGCCATCCATACCTCGCCCTTTCCTCGTCTGATGAAACCTGCAGCATCGTTCTTGATCCACATACACCCCCATTTAATGGCGCCGCCATTTAGAGAATCCTTCGTTGCGGAGTGCTCTCTCGCGTTTAGATCCAGCCTTTGTATTCATTCCTCCTCCTCTTGGAAGGGAGCGATGACCATTGGGACCTACCTTTGGGCTGTGGAATCAACATCTCGGCTCATCCTTCGACTGCTATTCATAGATTTCTCTATTTGAAGTCGTCTCTCCGCATGTGGACCGGCGTTCGGAGTTCGTTGGTTTTCCACTTGAGTTGAGAGTTGCCGAAGGATAGGTTAACTCTATATCTCAGCCTCTTCAATGTGATCGGTCTTAGACGATGAAACATGCGTGTCGTCCCAGTGGAATCCATCCGCCCTACCGCACATGCGCAGGGGCCCGACTTCTCCGCACAGCGGGCCCTCGGGTTCCTTCCAGACGTCACCGCATGTATGCGCCTGCCTCCTCATGCTGATCTTGTGGTTGACGAAAGTTGAAACGACCTATCGCTAGCTCTTGAGCAACTCTTTGGCTGATGTCCCAGCATTCAGGACTACGCATCGCAGGGTTCCGCAAACCTCACCAAGTTGCTTCTCGTAGCCGGCGTTTCTGTGATGTGGTCGTCCGATCTCTCACATGTCTTTCGAGGTGTCGATTCCTTCCATGACAAGTTCAGTTGATACAACTCACGACCTTTCTTATCCCCACCTGGACCGACTGCAACTCACGACTCCTTCCAACGTCACCTTGAACCCTTTCTTGCCATCTACACAAATCCCACTCCGTCGCTCCCACCTCTCCTGAACCCCCACCTCCTTTCACTTGCTGATAGACAGCATCGGCTACTTCAGGCTCGGACGGAAAGCCCACGCTACTTGCTCTTCTCGTCGGATCGACGAATTTTTCAACATCATTGTCATATCCCAAGATTGTGCAACGGAAGGAGCTCGGGAGAAACTCGTAGATAAAATATGCGGCGAGATCGGGGATGGCGCTTGGGAGACAAATACTTTGGACTGTAAAGGTAAAATACTAGTTATAAGGGAACGGGACGGTAATTACGTAGTGAAGCGAATCTGTTGAAATGCGAAGAAACGTTCACGGACACCGTGAGATGTGTTCGAAATTGATCAACAACTTGACCATCGCCCTTGACGTCGACCTCGCGCTGGCCAAACGTCGGCCAGTACACAACTGTTACGTTCTTGCTCGATCTTTCTATTTGAAGGATTGAGACTATCGATATCCCTGGAACTACGACGAACTACTTATTGCTCTGTTTGACCTCTCTCGAAGCTGGCGATCCGAGGGCAAGCGCTGCTTCCTCGAGCTCTGGGCTGGAGAACTTAGAAGGTGCGTTTGGTTTCTTCCTCCAGGCCCACCTTCAGATATTGATTCTCTGCCTGCAGATGATATGCACTGCGCTACTCAGTGGTAGTCAGTCTACGCTTGTCTACCCGCCACGACTTTCAGCTTGGGATTGGCAGGTCCCTTAGACGGCTTGCTCCAGCTACGAATCACAAATCCTGAGGCCTGAGGCTTCGTCAGCTCGTGTAGCATCGCCGCGGCACAGGCCGGAATGGAATCTGGATTGCAAACCGAGGATGTCCAGCTCCAGTAAGTTTACGTCTCCTGCTCATGTTGGTCATGGCCTCTCATCTCGAAATCCGTACAGCTGATTCTTCCCTCAAACGCTAATGTATGCGTTCCCGCCTAGTGGTTTCTGCGACTGCCAGCCCAAAAGTCACGTTTCTTTTTCGCATTCCCATTCGCTTAGGAGGTGGACTCTTCTCGTGGCTCCACTGCATCGCATGCTGGACAGCGAAAAGATTACAACTAGAAACACAGTCAATCGTAAAGTCACCGCTACGGGATTCGTTCGCACCACAGCTGTCATTAACCCCAACGACAACATCACCGCCAGTTCACGATACCTCATCATGGCAATCTTATCTACCCGAAGCAGCAACTACGAACGACTAGAAGGCACAATGGGCCAAGTAGACTCGATGGGACGAAGAAGTTGACGTGGAAGAAGTTCTCTTTGGGCGCTGCGCTCCTCGTTGGGGTGATGTGGCTTTGCGGGCCAAGGGCGCATACGTTCTCGTGGCGGGGGAATGGTAATGCTGGTTTAGAGGAGGAAGGTAAGTTTAACTGTCTTTCCTTCTAGAAAACTGATGAAAAGACTACGGGAAAAGGATACAAAACGGTCACAGTGCCTTCCCCTTCCAAAACGCACCACCAACAAACCCAACAACACCATTCGTCCCCTGCTCCAAAACCACCCACCACCCACCCAGACTCGTACGAAACTGATTCAGACCCTTCATCAACGACACACTATACCCACCTCTCACTCCTCTTCCGGCACTCTCGGACAATATACACGGCCCTTCCCCAGAATACGATATGAAGTATTTAAAATGACACAACCGAGTCTATCCACATTTGCTGGTAATCCTGAGGGCGCTGCGCGGAGCTTAGACGTCCGCGTCGTGCCCAAGGCGATGCACAGGTCTACACCTGTAGCTGTTAAAGCTACCGCCAGACTTCGTTTTCGCAATACTCGGTGTTCTTCTCGAGAAGAACGTTGACTCCAGGATACACCTCCACGCTTTCGAGGTTAGTATACCGGGGGAGGAGACGGATATGGAGATATCACGCGTGACTGTGTCCGATAATTGAGCTGATGAGCATGCGTCTTTTGACTATGACGTCGGCTGTTGATCGGTTGGATGGTCCGCCGACGTTGAGGGCTGCGGTGCGGTATGAGATGACGGCGTGGTTGGCGAGGGAGTCGGATGTTAGTCTTGGGGATCTTTTTGGGAGGTTAGGTAGCTGCCTTGACTTGACGCTGTGTTGTCGTGATAACCCTAACCCTAAGGTCGACCCCCACGAACCCAAGACGAACCCGACTCTTTCTACGATATGGGCGTCTCACTTTAGTCCGCGCCTACACCAAGACGTAACCCTCTCCCAAAACTTGAGGTTCTTTGATCCTAACAAGAGAACGTCAGCACACAACATGTTCGTCTTTTCCAACCCTCCATCCACCTACGAACCAACTAACCCCTTCTTAGGTACGACAACTACATATCCGAAGCCGACAAATTCCTCTCTCCCCCCTCCGAGTCTCAACACAACAGAAACTCGGGTGTCAGCAACCTGGGCATGGGTCCACTGAACATGGCAGACGATTTTGATGACTCTGACGACTCCGAGGACGGAGCTGAGCAGAGATGAAAGAGGGTAGCTGCTGCTTCCGCTGGAAGTTCTCCATCCAAGCCCGCAGCCTTGGCAGCCGCCACGCAGTCACCCTCTCCTACGCATCGTCAGCCGTCTCCTACGCAGCAGCAGCACAATGCTCCTCAGCCGCAGCAGCAGCAACAACAACAACAGCGGCCGCCTCAACAGCAGCAACAACGGCCGCCTCAGCAGCAACAGCAACAGCCTCCCCAGCAGCAACAGCGGCCTCCCCAGCAACAACAACAGTGGCCTTCCCAGAAGCAACAACAACGCCCTCCCCAGCAGCAGCAACAACAACAACAACCTCTCCAACCAACAGCAGCCCTAAACCTCGCCCAACCTCCCCCCTCCCTCCCACCAACAGGCCTAGGCCGCCTCCCACGCTCCGCAAACCCCTTCGAACCCCCCGCACCCCCATTCCCCTCCTCTCCCTCCCCATCAACACCACACCCGCTCCAACCACTAATGACACCTATCAAACCCACCTTCGCCCTCCCCTCCTCTTCCCCTTCTTCTCCTTCCCAAGGCGGTGGCGGAGGCCCAGCGGTAACATTTTCCACAACAACACCCACCCCTCGCAAACCCATCATCCGCTCAAACTCTGAAGACCCACTCCTCCCTACGCGCGGTGAGAAAGGGGACGTTTTCTGGCGTCGGTTCTCCATGATCGCCAAGGAAGAATTGGCAAAACCCCGTGGGGCGAAAGATTCTTCGTGGTTGAAGAAAACCCAGAATGGAAATGGGAGAATGAACAGATGGGTAGGTATCGTTTCTGTGTTGTTGATTTTATGTATAGTGGCTGCTGTGGGATTGGGGATTTATTTTAATCGGAATGCGCCGGGACATCAGCAGCCGAAGGTTTTTGGAGGAGTGGGGATGAGGTTGGGAGTTCTGTTGCGACGAGTGCGACTAGTGCCCGTGCCAGTGCAAGTGCGAGGGGGACGGGGAAGAGTGGAGGGACGACGAGCAGCAGTTTGCATGTTAGTCCGACGTTTACTGTTGCGAGGCGGGAGGAGGAGGTGTAGAAATCTAGATCTAGATCACACGGTAAGGAGTCAATCTCAGTCTCGGTATAACGGACTGAATTGATGTATGTACCTAGATCACACGGTAAGGAGTCAATCTAGGTAAAGTAAGTAAGAGTGTAGTAATCGGTAAGTAGAGTGGCTCACCTCAGTCTCGGTATAACGGACTGAGGTGTACATAGGCTAATGTATGGTATATATATACGAGACGGAATAAAGGGTGAGCTAAGCATAAAGAGAGAGTGAAAGAAAGAAAGGAAAAACAAACGTGTTCACGGTGTCGTGATAATCACAACACTCCTCCTCACCGTGAACACTCCTCCTCGCATGGAGTCTAGTGCTGTTTGATGCCCAAGAATTCGCGGAATCGAGTAAACTTCTTGGTGTCAAGGGCTTTAGTAAATATGTCGGCCATATTGTCGTGGGTATTGATGTAATTTAGGATGATTTCTTGGGATTGGACACGCTCGCGTAAGAAATGGTGTTTGATATCAATGTGTTTGACGCGGTCGTGGAGCATTGGATCTTCAGATAGATTTATTGCGGCTATCGTGCCATGTCTGGAACCAAATTTAAAAAGAATCAAAAATTCAAAAATTCAATCCATGGTGGTCCACTACTCTCTGTTCTATACAGCCATTTAGTCTAGTGGAATTTACCCTTATTTCTTTCATTTTGCCTGATGTGCTGAGTTCAATTTCTCCGTGAGGTATTTTTTTGCTCTTCCTCTTCCTGATAGCTAATCCAGTCAGCTCTCCCTCTTCTTAAAATATTCATGCAAGGTGTTGGTTATCTTTATTTACATTTTGTTGAATGATGGGTAGAGAGGAGTACCTGCTCAAGCACAATCAGCCATTCTAGAAAGACATTTGTGAAAATTATCATCTGTCTTTCCTTTCTTTCATGAATATATTGACATTTAACATCCTCCTCCACTGTATAAATTGATTGTTAATTTTCCTTTCATGTAGAAGAGTGTCTGGTGCATTTAAGGTACATTTTATTTGAAACTTGCATACCTGCTTTTGCATGTGGTAAAAGAAATTCCATGCAACTACAGTCATCCACCCCTGAATGATACACCACCCCCATTTGATACACTTTTGTATACTTTATCACTTCCCCAAATCATCATTGTTTTTTTTAAACAAAATGTCATAGCTACATATACATACCAACAATCCTTCCACAAAATTTCAAGTCAATTAAACAAGTTCTGGTTCCACAGTAAAATGTTCAAAAGTGGATGTTTCGTGGACTGCGCCGAAAATGCCCTCACCCCCCAATGATACACCCATATTTGATAAATTTCTACACAACAACACCATGGAATCTTCTGAAATTTTGAGGGGTGGATCATACTGATTAACAGAGAGTTATTGTACAGTTTTTATGGGGAAGACATGCTGCTTAGAATTGAAAATTGAATTTAATGATTTCACTGTATCATTAAGGGGTGGATGACTGTACCAAGATACAAAATTTTAGCCCATATTATGTAGCCATGGATATATTATTAGCTATTGAAGGATGGGCATCTAATTGCAGCTACAGATGCTGCTTTACTATTTGCCTTTCTGCACTTTTGATGCTAATTCTGCATCTTGTCATTGCAGAAACACAGCAATGACTTGAGAGCTTCTGAAACTTGTATACATTGACATTAACCCTTTTCCAATGGATTCCTCTCACAATCACATTGTCAGTCTTTTTTTTCTTACAATTATGCCCATTTTTGTAGAATAAATTTCAGACTGCTCATGGCTGCTATAGAAGTTGTTTATTATAAGATTTTGAAGCATAGAGAAGGAATCATCTTTGAAATAGTCAGGTTTTTGATTTTTTGGCAACCAAGTGGCATTACAGATTTCAAAAGGGTAACTGATATCATTTTCTTAATTTGAGCACCTTTTGATGGGGATTCATAACAATTTTTTTGTTTATTATGACTGCCATTGTAATGTCCTATTTTTTGGTTCAGTTTTTCACTTCAAGTGAAGACATTTGGATGTGGCAATGAGGAGAATGAATTTTTGAGTAGAGATGTAAGCCGTGTGAACAAATAGCCAAATCCGTCAGCAATAGCCAGATTTGTACTAAATTCTAAAGTGGAAGGAGGCTGTGCGAACAATTACCACTTTCAGAATTAGTAGCCCAAATCGGGCTATTGGAGGTTCCAGACACCACACAATAGCCTTTATTGCCGCGTTGTTGTCACATAGGATTAGAGTGGGTTTTTCGGGTTGGTATCCGATAGCGCTTAAAAGCGTACGGAGCCAGATCACTTCTTTTGATGCTTCAAATGCGGCGCCGTATTCTGCTTCACATGATGAGGCCGCTACGGTTTTTTGTTTGCGAGCTTGCCAAGAGATAACGCCGGACCCAAGGGTATAAGCATGTCCTCCGACGCTTCGTCTCGTGTCAAGACAGTTCGCCCAATCGGAATCGGTAAAACCAACTAGCGATATGGGGTTATTGCCGCCTAAAGAGAGTTTATAGTCACGAGTACCAGAAAGGTAACGTATGACGCGTAGCGCTGCGTTCCAGTGTGCGTATGTGTAGCAATCCAGATATTGGGATAGTTGCTGAACTGAGTAAGTGATGTCGGGGCGTGTGCCTATGGATAAATAGAGCAGGCAGCCAACTAATGACCTGTATGGTAGTTTTTGAATGTCTTTCAATTCGTTCTGCATGAGCTTTTTATAGTCGGCACGTCGAAGTTTCAGTCCCGGGTCCATAGGGATTGGAGCTGGGGAGGCGTTCTTCTGACCAAATTGCGCAACTATTTTGTCGATGAGAGCGGTTTGTGATAATTTAACGGTGTGGTTGGGTCGATCCCATGTGACGGCGATTCCAACGACAAAGCGGACTGCGCCGAGGTCAGATATTGTCCAGACCTTACGCATCTGGTTCTTGAAACACTTGTTTTCGTCCTTGTTGCTTGCAATGGATAGGAAATCGTCCACATGTATGGCGGCCACGATTGTTCTGCTGTCAGCAGTCCTGTAATAAATGCAGGACTCACATGAGAGACGAGTGAATCCCCAGGAAAGCATCTGTTCATTCATGGTTTGATTCCATATCCTCCCACTCTGCTTCATGCCATATAGTCCCCGTTGGATCATCCATACCCACTCCTCCTTTCCTTGCTCCTCGAAACCTCGTGGTTGCTCCATGTACTGAACTTCGTCTTCCGGAAGTAGGCCATAGAGGAAAGCAGTCTTGATATTGACTTGTTGTGCATCCCAGTTTAGCTTAGCCGCGATGTGTAGTAGAATACGCCAGGACTCCATGCGCGCAGTAGGTGAGGTTGTTTTCATGTAGTCCTTCCCAAAAATTTGTTCAAAACCTAAAAACACAACACGTACCTTCCATCTTACAGCTTTTCCGAGTTCGTCCCTTTTAATTTGGAAAACAGGTTTCCCTTTTCGAATTTTTGAGCCTTGAGGAACGTCGCATCGGGGAACTAATTTGTAGACGCCCATGTCTCGTAAAGATTTGAGTTCGTCTCGGTAGCCTTCTTCCCAGCGTTTGGCGTCAACAGATTGTTGTGCTTCCTCCCATGTTCTTGGCTCATCTTCAAATTCTAGGGTTGACGGATCTATTTTTGTCATTTCAGAGATAGCGGAAAGGATTTGATCGATTTGTTCCGCTTTTTCATCTCCGAGGTTCAGGGTTCCAAAGGCTTGGCGAAGCTCCTTAATTGCTGCATCTTCGACTATAGTGGGCACGTTTCGTGACTCCTCCTCTCGAAGATCCTGTAAGGTCTTCTTTCGTTCAGCTCTGGTCGCTTTAATTCTTACTGCAGCATCAGCAGATTCCTGTATCGCTTTCTCGAGTCATGAAGGTCCAGCAACTAGGGGTTTGTCCGCAATGCGACTGGAGCGACGCGGTAGGTTTTCGTCTGGTATTTGTGGCTGGTTTTCGGCGATAGGTTTGATCTGAGGCATGGGGTTTTCAATCTGAGGGGTTGCGGGTTCGGCGTTTTGAGTAGGGTTGTTTTGTGGGGGGTTTATAGGCGGAAGCAGCTCATCGTCATCTTCGTCGAAAAAAATGGGAGTGGGAGTTGCGCTTTTTACAATTGATTCTAGGGATGTTGCTTCGAATGGAATTTCAGCTTCTGGAGGCATCGGAGAATGGCCATCGCAGCTTTCTAGGAACTGCACGTGGTAAGAACTATAAACCTTTTTCGTTTCTCGATGGTAGCATCTGTACGTTTTTGAGTCTTTGTCATATCCGATGAGGACGCACTCAATTGATCTTTTGTAAACTTTTGGATTATGTTTGTTTTGGATCAATACGAAAACTCTGCAACCGATTTCTCGCATGTACGAGTAGTCAGGTTGTCGTTCATGCCACTTTTGCCATGGGGTTGTACCATCGAGTGAGTGAGTCGTGGTTTTGTCCTGAAGATGACCCGCCGTAATGTAGAACTCATCCCATAAATTTGTAGGGCACTTCGCGTAAATTCACATAGTACGTGCTTTTGCCATGAGTGTATGGTGCATCTGTTCAACATGTCCAATGTGAGCTGAAGTGTAGGGTGCTGTGAATAATTGGTTGGTGCCTCTTGATTCGAGCCAGTCATGCATCACGTTGCTCTTGAGTTCTCCGTTGTCGGTGATATATGTTCCCACCTTCAAACCTGTTTCGAGTTCTTGAGCGTGTTCCCATGCAGTTAAATAATTGAAGGCGTCACTCTTCCTTTTTAAAGGAATTGGCCATACACGACTTGTGAAGTCATCGACAACGTTCATAATGAATTCATTTCCTGTTCTTGATTTTACATGTGGCCCACTAAGATCCACCCACACCTTCTCTAATTTCCTCGTTGCTCTGTGCCCTGGCCCTTCTTTGCGATGTTTAGGAACAGGTGTTTTCATCTGTTTACCCAGGACACAAAATTCGCATTTAGGGGGGTCTTCATGATGAAGATTTGGGGGCATACCTGGTATCATCCTGCTCTTGACCATGTCTCGAATTGTCTGATAATTTGCATGACCAAGGCGGTGATGCAATGTTTCAAGACTTGGAGAATGTTGCGCCATAAGAGCGTGCTCAGTGTGAGCGGAATGTAAGACCAGGGAGT